AGATAAAAGGAGAGAGGACTCCCAACTATGGAGATGAGAAGTATATAGCCTTAGAGTGTATGGCATGAGAAGGAAAAGCTGGAGTCTAATTCCCTGGTTAAAATGGAATTCTAACATGAATATTTGAATACAGTCCTGGAACTAAACCAACTTCTGGTCAATTAAGATCAGCAAGGTCCATCTTACAGCGATGGGGGCCTTCAGAAGACAAGGAATAAGAGCAAAAGCCTGTAGTAGCTGAAACCATAGTATTAAAAATGCACTACAGAGTGACTCCAAACACCGATCCACCTTTGAGCAAAATGTGTCAACTCACAAAAATTTGAGATTCCTGTTAGCCTGAGCGGCAAAGAGGTCTATGACAGGTTTGCCCCCTTCCTGAAAGACATTCAACCAGGATTTTAGACCAAATCTCCGAAAATGTTTCTGACTTGCATACCCAGACAAGCTCCAGATAATGCAAAGAGGGAGAGTTCCTCTTTTCATCTTCACATGCTACATCACAGTTCATCACTCCATGTGTGCGTGACCATTCAGAGAGTAGACTGCAAATTTTCCATGCACTCTGGCAAGGCAAGTTCAAAGCCACCAATATCCCTGCACTCTACATGCTTTGAGCCAGGGTGCAGTCCCCATGCCATGAGGAACATGTCCAGAATGAACATTTTTACTGGCAAAAGGGCATCTCTCAATAAACACTTGAGTAGCCCAGCTACTAGCAGAGAAAATCACTGGGATAAAGGCAATGACATAAGAGGCTAATGGATACACAAGTGCACCATTTACAGTCACAGTTATAGACACTGGAGGTGAAATCTGGCACGTGACGTAGAAGGAGATGATGCTGAGGTATCATTCACTAGGGTGAACCTGCAGTGGACAGATCCCACATGGAAGACTGTGTTCCTTTTGTAAAACTATACATCCATGATAATCAGCATGGATTGACAGTCATGGTGATGGAGTCTGTTCTCTCTGCAAGGAAAATAACATGAAAAGATGCATGAGCAACAGGACACCTGCCAGAATGGACATGAAATCCTCTCTGGTGTCAGGAGAGGAAGGTCATCAAGGACTGACCAGATAAATTCTGAAAGTATATGCGATCATATGCACAGTTCATCCCCATTTGTTATACAGGGAGTAACAGCTGCTCTTCAGAAGATTTGTGCAAAGGTTGGAGCTTTCATGCCAAACAGGCTGCATCAGCAGTGTTTGGTGTGAATGGGTCTGCCTTAGCAGCGGAGCCCACAGAGGCCAGGGCTCAGCAGGTCTCATAACAGGCTGACAGGGAAAAGGCTGACCCACATCCCAGGACCCAGGAGCCCATCACTGTAGGGTGAAGCACATGCACTGACCCCTTGGCTCTAGAATCGCCTTTCTGCTTTGCTTGCGTGTCTGTGTCTCTTCTTCCAATGGCTCGAAAGGGTATCCAGGAAAAGAGCTGGTGTGCTTTACCTTCTCTGTCATATCTGAAGCAGGAAGAGTAGAGGGGCAAAACTGTTGTGGTAACATGGAAAGGTTCCTAGCAACAAGCAGAGCCCAAGTACATTCCTTATTAACATGTACATGTGGACTCATTCAAAGAAAGAATGGATATTGCCTTAATGTTAATATGAATGAGAAAATGGGAAAACAGAAAAGTAAAAAAGAAAAAAAAAATTTCAACATTGAGATGGTATCTGAACTTTGCCAAACTCTTTGGTGCCAAAACGTTGAAACTTTTTAGTTTCATTAAGGTGGGAAGTTTCATAACAAAAGCATTATCACAATGTCTCAGCAGGGCAACATTTAACCTCAGACGGAATTGATATCAACAAAGGAGGAAAGATTTACTCCCCAAACCCCTCAAGAAAAGTACATGAGACAATTCAACCAGGTTTAAAGGTTGCAGGTCTACGGTCTGAGTCAGTTCCTATCTCTCCTAGTCTAGACTGTGCTCTCCCACTAGTTCTCCAATGCTTACAACTCACTGTACAGTTTTTCAGGTGGACTTGAGAGAACAGCTTCGCACCCCAACAGGCAAAGGTTCTGTTCTCCTGCCGTCCTCACACCTGCTTTGGTGCACAGCCACTGTTTACCTTTAGCTGGCTTTGGTGTTTGCCAGACTCCACGGTGAGCAAATGGACAGTGAGGAGTGGCATAAAATGAACACAACAAGAAGAACGATAGCTTCTTCCATTTTCAGTGAGATAAATCAGCTCAGTGACTTGTCCAGTGAGTCCTGAGCAAGCACAAGGGCAGATGCAGGGCTACCAGCCAGCACTGAAGGGGTAGTGGGAAGGACAGCAGCTGACACACTCCACCCCAAGGAACATCACATCATTGGGATGCTGGTCCCGTAATTACCTTCCTCCACAATGGAAATCCCAATCCTCTCTTATACTTGGGCAGCTGGGGAAAAAGGAAGGTGGGGCAGGATTACTGTTCTGGTGGCATCCAGCTGTGAGGTCAGCTTGGTCGGGAAACCTTGCCTGCTCTTACCACCTCCACTGTCTCCTCCCAACAGTGAGCCACTTCCTCCCTCTCTCACCCCAGCAATAGCACTCATCATCAGTAATTACACATGAAGTCATGTGCTTGAAATCAGCAACTGACCTGACTGAAAAGTAACTTGGCAAAAAAACCCCAAACACCTAGTTTTCTGCTTCCTCAACACAAACTCATGGCACAATTACAGGTTTGAAAAGAGGGCAAACAGAATGATCCAGCTCAGATTGGTTTAATGTGTCAGGGAAGGCACCCTGCAGTTGCAGCTCCTTGGATTCCCAAGAGGCCCCAAACCAGCACTGTCCTGTTGCCTTCCCACTCCTATGCCCACTCTGTGCCTCCTCCTGTGTGTCACTACAGCTGGCTGTGCAACAACAGGATGGACCAGCCACTGGAAACGTCCATCTGAAAATTCACCATATTTCTGATAGGCTGTTTTCATCTGTATCACTTACGTATTCAAGATCACCATACGCCTGGACAAAATCACACTAAGACAGGACAGGGTATACGGATGCAGGAACAGTGAGGGGAAGCTGGACTATCTTTGTTGGCAAGAATGCCAGTCTGAGGGAGTTTAAAGTGTTGCCTGAAATACAGTTTCAGACTCTAGCTGTACAGATAAAAGCACAAACGTAGACTGCTGGACAAGCTCGAGAAGTGGGCCTGTGTGAACCTCATGAGGTTTAACAAGGCCAAGTGCAAGGCCCTGCACCTGGGTCAGGGCAACCCCCAGTATCAATACAGGCTGGGGGATGAAGGGATTGAGA